AAATGCATATTATATATAATGCGTATACTTTATTTGTTGAATATCTAGTTTGTCCATTGAAGGATCCATATATCCATGTGTTACACATCAGTATGGTGCTGGAGACACGACACACTGCTGACAGCCTCAGTTATGATGAGTCGTGCTGCTGTGGAGCTGATGATCTATATATAGACACAAATCCAACCAACACACACATATATCTCCATCTACACAGCAGGATTACTGTCATCCTGAATTATCATAAAATAAATAGCAGTGAAAGACAAACAGACAGACTGCCGCTGATCACAATCAGACCACGAACATGAATTAGGACAGGAAATGGAGTGCGATTAGATTCTGATGTGGACTTTAACATCCATCCACCTCATACAAGCCTCACCGGGTCACTTGTTGTAGAGTAGAATGATTTTAACATCACAATGCTAATGTGCACAGACGGACGCACGTGTCTTACCTCCACCTCACAGGAGAACTGGCTGCCATCCAGCAGGGTCACGTGACACACCACCATCTTCATCTTCTTGTTGACTTTGAGTGCTGACAGCACACTCGCCTCGTGCGGGATCACTTGCTCTTCCTCCTTCGTCTCCTCCTCTTTCTTCTCCTTCACCTCCGATTCGCCCTCTTTCTCCTCTCTCACAGGCTGCACACACACACACACACACACACTAGGTTAACACACATGTGCGCTCTCGTGTTTTCCAGTGGAGCGGATGGCTGCTGGATGACATCACTGGGCGGATGCTGAAGGAATGGACAGATGACTGATGGTTTTTGGCTGAAGCGCGTGGCGTAAGGAAGTGTTTATTCTGACGGAGCGCGAGCGCATCTGGAGTCCTCCGTCGTGTTCAGCTTCTGATCTGCATTACAGTCCCATCACACGCGGGTTTATCTGAGGAGATGATGGCTGAACGATCCGCAGTCAACACCAGAAGCACGAGACGAGCTCGGTGCGTCTCAGGACTGCAGCAGTGCAGTAAAGACCATGAGGTCATGCCTGTGTGCGTGAAACTTCTAGCTGTCTGCTTTGAATTCATCCCCTGTAAAGGAGCACTGCATGCACATCAGGACAATAATTCAATGATTTTAATTAAAATATTATGTTGATGAAAACATGACAAGAACAAAGCCATTGCTTGATGCATGCGTACATTTTTTTTTTTATATATATTTATTTATTTTTTGCTTTTTTTTTTAAATAAAAATATTGATTAAAATTGTTGAAATTAATATATAAAATCTTTGGTTTAAAAAAATTATTTAATTTTGCATTTTGACAAAATGTTATTTGAGTGAACTTAAATTTGATCAGAGTGAAAGTGTTTAAAATGAATGAACATGACAAAACACAGACTAAACTTAAATGATATTTTTGTCAAAAGACAAAAACTGAGAAATGAACACTGCGCTCCATCCAGCAGTTCATGTGACTGATTCAGTGCATGATGTAGACAAATATCTCCTGAGTTCAAGCAAATCACTCACAGGCTGCCGTTCAAAAGTTTGGGGTCAGCAAGATTTGCAACGTTTCTGAAAAAAGTATCTTCTGCTCACCAAGTCTGCATTTACTTGATCAAAAATACAGAAGAAACAGTAATATTGTGAAATATTAGAATGTAAAACAGCTGTTTTCTATGTGAATCTCTGTTAAACTGTAATGTATTTCTGTGATGCGCAGCTGTATTTTCAGCATCATTACTCCAGTCCAGTGTCACATGATCTTCAGAAATCATTCTAATATGCTGATTTGCTGCTCAAGAAACATTTCTGATTATTATCAATGTTGAAAACAGTTGTGCTGCACAATATGTTTGTG